ATACCATAGATTTCCTGGCAACCATTGCTTTGGTGTCGTTCCCTAACAGTGCACTCAATTCACTATTGATACCAGGGTCAGATCGAAATACTGTTCCCAAACAACCGAGTATTGTGTCCCAAAAGGCCGTCAATAGCCGGCGCACCAGTTTATGAGCGGCAGCTCTGTGCTCGACATCCATTTCCGGGTCCACTCGAGTAGTGACTGTTTTCTCGAGGCGCCGGTAATCGGACAGTCGTTGAGCTCCCGGTTCGCAACTGTCCAGTCCATCCATGTCTACCACAGATTTATAGGTATTAGTCGGCAATCCTTAAAAATATCGTTGAAATACCTGTTAAGATGTTAATGAGGGCCACATTCTGGTGCTCTCCGTATCGATAGCCGGCGCTCTCTAATAAATTGTCGGCTAAAACAGTCTGATAGAGCTCTGCCAACCAATAGCCAGATATGTAGACAAGAATACCGGTGCTGTGAATCTCATCAATAAATTCTTGCTATAAAATTCATACAAAAAATGCTTGCTTAAATATTAAATTTTCAAAACTAATTGGTAATTACGATATATAATATTGGTTGTTATTAAATTAATACAATAATGCTCGATCATTTAATAATAAAATACAGAATAAGGGAAATGTATGTAAGAAATGATAGAATGAATACCTCTGTTAAGGGAATGGTTAGACAGGAATTGGTGTAAAAGTTAGTGTTAATTAGTTTAAGGTTTAGTGAAAGCGCCGAATAAGTGGCTAAATAGATGCCATCGCTGTTTATAATTAGCGGCATTTGGTTGTATGGGTTGTCTTGTGTGCGCTCATTGTCGGTAGTAATACGGGTGCCGTTAGTGTTAGTACTGGCGGTAAGTTTTTGTTGTTCGCATAGATCTATCAATTATTAACACAATTTTATATTTAAAAGTTAGTAAAAATAGAAATATTAATACAATTATAAATGATATCAAAATAGTTTATAGGAATCAATGACCTACCGGTGCAGTAGTCGGAGGAAAACACTTGTAACGCGTGGTCGGCCTCGACGGACGTCCGCAGAGACAAGAGTTGCGGCAAAAAGTGTTTGAGAGAACCGACGAAACGGCGGGCGTTATTGCGCTCAACATTCACGTAATGACTGCCATTAGCGGCAGTCGACTCGCGCCGATCACCGCCGAAGATCTGATCTGTTGCCACACATTCTTCCGGTTCCGGACCTTCAGTACAGCAACTGGTGTTGGAAGAGGTCTTCTGGTATTCCTCCGCCTCTTCATAATTAGTCGAAACGCTTTCCGTTTGCGGCAAACCCTCGGCCTTTGGCTGACATTCATTGGATTCAGTAATTTCCTCACCGGTAACGACATTATCATCGCCGGCGACAACACCTGATTCTGGTTCAGATCGCGGGGTATCGTCGACACCGTCGCTGTCCGTAGACTTGGAGCACAAAATCTCCTTAAGTTTTGATTTATAGGACTCGAGCTTAAAGTTCTTGAGATGTGTCTTCTGAAAGGTCCGCTTCTGGACAGTTGTGTCCGCACCGGTCAACTCGTGATTGAGATCCCTATCCATCTCCTCGTTGGCATCGAAACCGACGATTCGCTTCTTCAACACTTCAAACGAGACACTCGTCTGAATCGACTCATCGGCGCAACACTTATCCACAGAATCGTGTCGACCGTTGCGGACATCGAAGCCCTCAAACTCTGCGTCTTCGACAGTGGCGTACAATCTGTTGATATATTCAATGGTTTTGTCGTTCAGTTGATTCGAGTGACAGATTGTCTGCAAAGAGTGCAGAAATGCCACAACAGATGATATACTCTGCGATGATATAGTGGTGTCTGAGGATTGACTGCACTCTTCCAGCGAATCCACAACTCTATTCAATACCACGAATCAGTTTAAGACATAAAGCGATCAATTGATTCAATAAATGCAATACATGTGCAACAGATCCAAGTCTTTAGAGCGCGACTTCTTGCCGAACACCGGCTCCTCGACCGCTGCGTTCACTATAAGGTATGTATTCTTCAGGACCTATGAAACAGTTGATAATTACAACACAATTATCTTAACTATTATCAGAAATAGTGTCAATATTTAGTCAGAAATACCTCTTGAATCCACTTTAAAGCATCTAATCGTTGCGAAACCGGAGGGTATAGTAGTATCCGATGAAATAGTGACTCCAGTGCCGGCCGAAGACAACTGATTCGACCAAAAAGTCTCAACAATTCGGAAGCAATTCTAATGAATACCGAAAAATCAAATTAAATTAAAATCATTTGACAAACGACTGAATACTTGAAAATATATGTCTTATATATGGAGGACGTGTCGACCGATGAGACAGACTCTGATCCGCGACCCATCTTTTTAGCGTCGGCTGTGGGCGCGGATTGGGTGACAGAGCTGTCACTACCACTGGACTTCATGTCCACTTGATTTATATGGGAAGCGCTTAAGTGTTTAATTAGCACCGGGATCAATGTCTCCCTATTTAGTAGAATATGAAAACAATTGATTAAAATTAATTTTAAAAATGAGAGCACATTATGGTTACCAAATAATATCGACCATCGGTTCGGTGATAATGTGAGACTCATTGGNTCCTGCGCACCAAATGAGTGGTAATTAGATATCAATTGACGGATCAATTGAGTGAACAATGAATTACTGGTGTGGAAGTCAATCATAAACGAGTGGAAGTGGACGCGACGTCTGGCACCGGGATCTACACAGCAGTTGTCGTAGAAGAGGTCCATTAGCATCGTTTTGCCGCATCCGACCGACCCGTGCAGATACAGCCCACGGACACGACCTCCAGAGTTGGACTTCTTAAACAATTTGTTTAAGAATGAGTTTCGATGTCTTATGGTTTGTTGATAATCACAGAGTTTGGCGTTCAGGTGATCCAAGTGGTCGACCACCACGTGCTGGTGCTCGTCCTCCCGGAGCAGTCCAGCCTTCACACGATCCTCGTATACGCTGAGCAAGTGGTTGATCACCGCAGCCCTCGAGTCACTCAACTCTAAGACGGATAATACGGACCAATTAAGTGATAATCAGTTGGCGCTGTCTATGGCTTACTTCGGATCAGTTGCCTATTGATGGCAATGGTGTTGATGGTGAGCATCGCTTGTGAGCTTCACGAGTGGTTTATGAGATTAATGGTCGATCACCGGTACAGTTGACCACTAAGTATCACCAGTGGATCAGTTGACCACTAAGTATCACCAGTGGATCAGTTGCATTGAATGGGTGGTGAGTGGTATGCGGTTACAACGATGTGATCAACACGTGTCTGAATGTGTCCATACGGTTGTGTTCACATGATATATGAAATTACCTTGAGCACTATATTTAATGATAACTGAAAACCATATGATTTGCTAAATAATAATAACAACAGTCTGTATGCGATTGCTATGGAAACCAATTCAGTAGAGTCTGTGTGTTATGTAATGCTTACGAGTGTTGACAGAGTAGTCATATAACTGTCAAAAGACTGCATTCATATNGTAGAGTCTGTGTGTTATGTAATGCTTACGAGTGTTGACAGAGTAGTCATATAACTGTCAAAAGACTGCATTCATATCCATATGGTTTGAAATGTGGTTTACATTGCATTGGATTTGATTTGAATCGGTCTCAGACATAGCCACCAGACTATCAAACCATGGATGAGATACTGAGGAAAGTGGTGGTCGAGTGTCAGTCGGCACAGTTGGCACATATTGTGGGCCAATCGCACGATGCTATCGGTATGTTATACATGGCTTTCACAGAATATTCTGTGATTATTGTTCATTAATTGTGGTTATATTCTGTGTATTGAAGTGAATTTGTGTTTAAATATTTGATGTAATATATAGTGTAGTTTTTGTTAATATTCTGTATAATTAAATATTCATATTCTATACAGAATATTCTATAAGATAATAATACAAGTATTGTTAGTATTTGTTAGTTTATGCTCTATTGTCTACTGATATTCTGTATAAACATAATTAAATATAATAGTAAATACTCTGTATAATTAAGTAGCAATTGTATAGAATATTCTATAAGAATATTGTATTGATAATACTTCAAAATTTTATAATAAAGTACTACTAAAGCAGAATATTCTGAATATTATTAAACAAAAACAGTATTTTTATTACAAAATAATTTATTAATTGTGTTATGAATTGGTTTGTATTCAGAAATAGTTTGCGACAAAAGCTCTTTAATGCGGTTCCCTATGGAGGACGTGAGGGAACGGTGTTTTCAAGTGTTTAAGTCG